CGGGGCAGCGCCGGCTCCAGCCCGACACGTGCGGCCCGTCCCCTGCAGCGCTCCTACGAACGGGGGTTTAGCTCCTGCTGCCCAGGGGACCCTCGGGAGAAGGCGTGGGTTTGGTGTTAGATGGGGAAGTGGGGGGGACGATTTCTCCAGACTTTCCCAGGGTTCTGGCCTTCAGCGTTTGGACGTGCACGGTTGTACCTCCCCTTCTCTTCACAGTTTCACTGGAGTTGAACTTTGTGCCTCCAGGAATGTTCAGGTTAAAATGTGGGTGTCAGTTGTTAACAAGTTTTACTTATTCTCTTCTCATTTGATTTACCTAGTGAATCACATTTCTCTGAAAGAGGAAGTTTACGCTATGTATATTTCTTATGTATGTATGTATGTATGTATATTTACATTTATGCCTGCAGTTTACATTATTTATCTTTCACACACACAGTGTAAATGATCGGCAGTTTGGGATTTTCAGAAATTCCAGGTTGGCTGTCAAGAAATGAAGGTTAGGATGTGCTGCGCTGGACTGCAGAATCTCCTCCAAGGGCTGAGCTTCAGTGCCAAGTACTACTCTAAGCATAACCCTCCTCAAACAATGTGCCTTTACAGTAAAATGGGACTAAAAAAGTGGCACATCCTGGGCTGTTCAAAAAGTATATGCACCCACAGGACTGCACCACCTGGAAGCATCCTGCCATGCAGATTCTTTTCCTGCAAGGTATGCTGTTTAAGTACAGACTTAATACCAATCACCACATTGGCACATCTGTTAAGGGACCCAGTCATGTCCCTTCATGTTGAGGAAACACATTTTTCCCAGAGAATTTGAAGCAGAGGAATAATGTACAGGATATCAGCTATGTTCAAAGACATGTACCATTGTTCAGCATTCCTATGTTGTTTTGACATAAAGCAGCATTTTGGGTGATTTTCTCACTAAATTTTGAAAAAATTGGTATCTTCCAGAGCTAGGTAAAGTGTCAGGAGAAAAGAGCAGGGATAGATCAGCTGGTGTAAAGGCAAAGTGTCTAAACAAGACTGAGCTAGCTCAAAAAACACTTGACTGGTGTCTGTGTTGACCAGTAAGTCATGGTTTCCATCATATTAAAATATAATATTGACATCTCATAATCATGCTCACATGTTCCAAACTGTATTTTAAAAGGTATTTGCATTGATTTCTGTAAATAAATATTGTGTAATTGCATGGCAGTATATCGTGCACAGAGTCAGAAAACAGTCTGAAATAATTTTAGGTCTCAGTGTCTCTAATACAGATTTTGCTAGAGGTATTATAAAAGTTTACTGCAGTATGACAGCCTGGAAACTTATTTATATGCATAAGTAGTGTTTAAAAAGATTTATGTTTTGGTTTATTTGATCCTAAACATGTTTTCAGATGGATGCAAGGTTGTCCTAAAATTGCTCAAATTGACAGTGTTTCTTCAGAGGTGACACAAAGTTTGTCTTGTTGTAACTCTTTTATTTGTCACCAAAGTAGAGTTCCTAAATCTGTGTCTCAAATGTAAGCAAATGTTTCAAGGAGAACATAGGAGGTCTGGAGGGATGAGAATGTGTGGTCCAGTTTACTCTACTGTACTTCCCTAACACAAGTGTTACAAATGCTGCTCTGTGACACTGGTCCCAGAATGCAAACATGGTTTTCACCTGAAAGGAGGCTGTGCCTGTTTGTTATGGAGCAAATGTTTGCACACCAGTTGTCACTGAGATCCTCTGGTATCCTGAAAATCTTTCTAGATTACTGGATTTTCCCCAGGCAGGAAGGTGTACCATACCTCTTAATATATCCCTACACCATGACTGCCAGCTGCATATAATATTTCCAAATGAATAAAATGGGAATTGCTGAAAACAACAAGAGGACAATCATCAAAAGATTCATAAAGTGTGGAACTTGTCAAAGTTGTGGATGCTAAAATTTTACAGGTATAAGGGGGGACATATATGATATAGATATATAGATATATGACATATATGAGAGAGACTTTTTAAATTCCCAGAAACCATGTTCAGGTCAGGAAACCCCTGAGATAAATTTGTTTAAGACTGGAGAAAATCATCTGTCTTGTCCCATTCTTATGCTTTCCTAAGTACCCCTTAATGGCCACTGAGGTTTTATTTGGTCGCATCATATTTGGGGGATGGTGTTCTCTTACAACAGTTTTTCCAGTGACTGGGGTGAGGTGGTACAACTTTGGTGTCCAGCAGTTTGTTTCTCCTGACCAATCACTCAGAGCTTCTCTAAGAGCCTTCACAATTTGTTTGCCTTGTGCCAGGTGAGAGGAAGCATTGGTCTGAACCAGTGACAGACACTCTCAGCTCTCAGCAGTGATATAAGTATAAAGTGATATAGGTATATCACTTTATATCAGTGATATAAGTATAAAGTATATGTCCTATGAACATATACTTTATGTTCATAGGGAGTTTGGTAACTGAATCAGATGGTTTCCCTTCAGAGTCTACTTGAAACATTCACATTTTGGTTCTCATGTGCTTCTGAGACTAGGAACAAACTTAACAGTCCTTAATGGAAAGTAAGGATAGGATATGAAGCATAGGCTGCTTTTTAAGCTTAGACACATTCAAATCATATATTGAATGTTACAAAATGCTACTTTGTGTGATTTGTGCAGTATTGTGTAATATAAGTTACATAAGTTGTGACACTTGCTACTTGATCAAGTGAGATTTCACAGCATGCAAGAAGAGGTAGCATTGTTATAGCAATTTTAACACACTTTTAACATTTTTACAATAGAAGACAGCTTTGTTGGCAGTGAGGTAGCAGTAATCTCACATTTAGTGGAAAACCAGATCCTTAAACATATTCCTGATAAAATTGTTGCAGAACCCGTATCAGTTCACTGCTTCATTCTTTGCCTTATAAACATTTATATTAACACTTCTGAGGAAGTGGAGCAAGAACCTGAATGAGTTACTAGGACTCCTAGGTACAGGGACAGAGGTGTGAGCATTGTTGTCTAGGAAAGGAAATGAGAAATTACACTCTAAAGACAGGAAATTACGAAAGAAAGTTGTGAAGAAGGAAAAATAGTAGAATTCCGTAAAAAGTAAAACCTAGTTCTAAAACAGGAACAAACGTATTCACTTATAATCAATTAAGAGCATATATTAATAGTACCCTAAATTTTGAAGAAAAAGCCTCAATAAATGTGTCAAGCATGTTTGACAGTGCCTCCCCAAAAGATCAGGAAGAGTTAAAACAAAACACATTCCAACTGCAGTTTTTGTTTCTATTGGCTTGTACTTCTGTATAACGCAAAGGTGGTTTTGGGCCTGTGGCTCAGGGGATATTGCCTCAATGTGTTCAGACTGGTGTGCAGTGTGCTGGCTTGTAGCCATTGTTGTCTTTCCTTACTTAGCAGGAAGGAACAAAAGTCCCTTCCAAAAGGAAGCAAAATACAGCCACAGTAACTTCAGGCCTTTTGCACAAGAACCTTCTGAAATCAGAGCAAAAAAACTGGAATAACATTTCACCAACATACAGAGCTATGACAAAGAGAATCAAGGAAAAACTGGAAGAATTGCACAACATGTATACACTCAATTCAGGAAGCCCAAGGGTAAGTGATAAACAATAAAAACATTTCCCATCACTGACTACAAATAAAATACACTGAAGCCGTTCCTGCTATAAAATGCTGGTTTACTCATTTTTTTACAGTAGAAGTTTTGAATATTTTAATAATTATGCATAGTAACAATCTGTGTTTAGAACAACTTATACCTGTTATGACAGTGAATTTACCTTAATTTCTCCATAGGCAAAAGCAAGTAAAGATAAAATAATCATCTTACTTTTGGATAAAGAATACGAGACACTGTAAGTTGCAAAGTTGCAAGAGCAGTTGCAGGTGATCTGAGCCTTCTGTGATATTTAGAGCAGGTAGAGGCAGCTTAAGTACCCTGACTGAAAAAACCTTTCTGATGTGTGCAATTCCTTTTTCAGTATGGAATATATGTTCTGTCATTTTTTACATTTATTACAATTTGTTACAATTCTGCTGAAAAATTACTGTAAATAGGGATTCGAAGAGAATGTCTAATTGTGTGCTGGATGTGAAATATGTTTGTATTGAACAGATGAGGTTTGGCGAGAATGTGTACTTTGAAGAGAATGGCTGCATATTTCTTGCAAAAGCAGATCATGGTAAGGGATTTCTCTTCCTAATATGGTAGGATTCTTACAAAAGATCTACATGTATCACTTAGTGTTCTTTTCTTCCATTAATGCTTAACTTGCCTGTTTCTTAACTAAAAATACTTTTATACAATTCCATAATAGAGTAATAATTCTAGACTCCTGAATCTGAAAAGGTGAGGTAAGGAGAGTTAGTGAATCGTATATATTGATATGAAGGAAAGTTGCTGGAGAGGAACAAGAGAAGACACTTCAGAGCACTAACTTAACATTTTGACAAATGAAAAGAACATCCATGCTTTTTTATTTTAGAGGAGGGGGTAAAAGAATTTCTAATTTTATTTATTAGAAACAACTGTGCTTTAGCTATCTGAGCTTTAAAATTCAGTATGTTTAGTAGAAGCCAAAACCTACGCTTTTGAAATATTTTTAGTAATAACTACAGGACTTTTTTCCTTGTAACTTGCATTTGCAAACATCTTTCAAGACAGGTATTTGGTGTTGATAATTCCAGTAGAATGTTTGTGAATGTTGGAGACAGATTTGTTAAATACAGACATTAAGAATCACTGTTCATTTTGACAGGGTCTTAATTACAGGATTTTTTGCTATCTCTTTTTTTCTATGTAATAGCTGAAGGAAATGCTGAGATTGTATTCAGTGTTGAAGATTTTGGCTTTTCTGATGCCTTTATTCAACGGATCAGAATTTCACCAGATCAGAAATACATGGCCATCAGCTTAAAAAGTGAAAATTCTGAAGAGGCAACCTGCATTATTATGAAACTTGGCAATCTTCCTGTTGTGGAAAAAGTAATTCCAAGTGTATTTAGCTTTGGTAAGTTGTTTATAAATGACCTGTATATCACAGAGTCTTTCAACATAACATTTTTCTTAGTTTAAAGGTTTGGGGTGTTTTGTTTTTTTTTATGAAGGCAACATTTAATCCTTATAGATGTTGAATTGTTTCTTATGGTTTCTTTAATGCTGCACATTACAGGTTATCTGATATGGATGAAAGAGACTGCTTCCTGGATACAACTTTTCCTTCATTGTAAATGCATTTATACACATTACAACAGTCATGCATATAATTTTTTGCATTGATTCCACTCAGCTGTATTCAAAATATAGTGACATGACTGTTTTTGATATAAAAATCTTTTTGAGGGATATTCTAGTTGGTAAAACCTTACAGCTATTAAAGTCATTGGTAGCTGTAGATAGCTTTTGCTTGAAAAGTGTGGAAGTACTACCTACTAGTGAGTATTGGCTGGAATTTCAACAGAAATCCAGGATGTGAGTCACATTTCAGAGCCCAGTAAAATCAGCCAGGCCTTGAATCAATTCTTTCAGAATAGATTACAGAGCTTTACATTGCTGTTAAAAGAAGCAGAGGTAAATGGAAGTGAATGGGAAAACATGATTTTTTTTTAATAGTATGTTAAAGAATATAGCAAAAAGAGTATAATAGTATGTATACAGTGTTCCAGATCTCATACTTTGGATTATATTGCTAAATGTCATCAAGTATATCTAGTGCAGTAAGCAGTTTGCCTGGGCAGAATAAAATAATAAAACTCTAGGTAAAACTCCCTTGTTAAAAAATGATGAGTAGCAAGAATTTAGTTTTGTGTTTCCACACTGAAGATTACAATACCTGTTGAAAAATAAACATGCAAATTTGCCAATGACACTTTACACCATACTTGATTTGAACATCTATCTAGGTTGATCAAGAAGAATGAGTACAGTTAAGAGACCAACATCCTGTTGCCTAAATGGGTGTGACATAATAAGAGTAAAAAAGATGACTATCAGAATGGTAAATTCTGTAGTCAGGTGTGAGTGAGAAATAGCAGTAGTGTCCTGAAGCACAGAGATGTCTCAGTCATGACTTGCAAAGTTATGTGCTGGTACTGAGTGATATAAAATAGCAGGAAGAGAGACAGAACTTCCTGAAAATTTACATCTTGATTTTTCTATAGACTAGGCTATAGAAAAACTTGGATTTCCCTTCTAAAGGCTTGTCTTCATAGTGAATCCTCAGTTACCTGTGCACTTTGGAGCCACACTGCTGTTCAGAAAGCAAAATGTTTGTGTTATCTTGGTGTTGTGTTAATTCCCCAGGTTTTGTACTGAAAATCAGTATTTATGCATAAGACAGCATACAGAAGCTTTTAAAAGCACATATGTTAAACATCATTCTGTTGGCTGTAGGAGCAGAAGAGATGACAGGAATGTGGCTGGATCAGTCAGAATAACTTCAGAATAACAAGGTTCCTGTATTTATACCTTTCTATGTTGGTGAACACATACACAAGCATAGAAAACTGGAGAATTTTTACCTCAGTGGTACCCATGGGGCACATGCATCATCTCTTTTCTCTAAATGGCTTGTGTGCAGTCACATGTAACAGTGCAGAGCTTATGATGTCTTTATTATCTTGCTGACTCCATGTAAACCTCTTTCTCTGATGTTTTAAAAAGCCATGTCTCCTGTTTTCCTGTTACCTCCAGAACCCACACAGGGTCAAGAGTTTCCTATTACTGGGCCCTGCAACATTGACCTCTGCTTTTTTTGCTTTTCTTTCAATACATTATGAGATTCTTGTTTCATGGTAGTCAGAGAAAACATGGAAAAACCTTTTGGCTCTTACCTCAGTTCTCACAGGATGTGGAAATGATGTCCTCAGTTCCACACCACCTGCAACCCATCTTTTTCAGCACTGGGACCAATGTCCATGGAACTCCCATCTTCTCTCACTAATACTATACACTGTTCTGAATTTGGTATGTCTCTGTCTTTTTTTTCCAGAATGGGCTGCAAATGATGTTCTGTATTACACAACTCAGAAGAACCTTAAATGCCAGAATGTCTTCATGACCACTTTCACTTACCAGAAACACACTAAGTTAGTTTATACAGAACAAGATGCAAGGTAATACATACCTAAAATATAACAAGTCCTTTACATATTTTAGAGTATTTTATATAACTGTTTATAACTGTTAAGGGAAACTGTTTTGGGAAACAAAGTGGTTTGGAAAACAAGGTGTTCCATATCATATCTCAAATAGTAAAATGCACTGTTGTGTTCTGCTGTCAGTAGTGCCTTATACAGCCTGAGAATGGGCTCTGTTCTCCTTTTGATATGTGATCAACAGAGATTTAACTCTCCTCTCTTACCTCAAGAGTTCAGCTGAGTTTATAAATGTCAAGGTCACTCTCAGGTCAGGCTGTCCTTTAATGAATGTGTGACAGTTTCATACAGGGTAAATCAGACCGTGGATTTCATTTTGTTTTCTCTGCTATTGATGTCTGATACATCTTCTTAAAAAAATACGTAAGTTCAGGCTAATCCTTGCTCTGGGTAATGGATGAGCAAAATCATTACAACATTCCAAGAGACGGAACTATTGTTGACTGAATACCCTCTCAATAACCTTTCTTTAAGCAGTGGTTTAGGAAGACATGAAGGCTCCTTGCTGAATTGAGCGTAGAACTAGCTTTTCAGCATTGTAGCACATGGTATATTTATACAGCATTCCATAAATATTTGTGATTATTCTTCATTCAAGTTACATATTCAGTAAAGAAATTCCAATTATACTTATAAGAAAAATAAAGAAAATAAACAAAAAACCTGCAATGGAGATGGAATAAATAAGATCTTTTTTTTCCAGCTGCATTTGATGCATAGTTTTGGAAAATCAAGTTGCACTGACCTGGCACTTCCCCACAGGGAAACTGTTGACATAATTCTGAAGGTCACAGTCATTACAGTAAATCTACTAGAAACTTACTCTAAAGGTTCAAGTGCTATTGCAGCTCATAGCTGAACTCCTTCATCGGAGATGGCAAGACATTCTTTTGTATAGCCACTGAGCAGTTCTGTTCTGCATCTCACTAGCTCTTCTAGTTGCAATCAAATTTTTTTAGAAGCTGAAAATTTCTTGCCTTTTTTTTAAAAAAGGCTACAAAAATAAAAAAACCCCTGTAATATCAAGGTCACAATCCTTGGGGAGAAGTGTAACATGCATTTCAGCTCAACCCTCTTAGAGGCAGGATCAGGAGAGCTGAACTCTGGGAATCTCTACTGAATGTAGTGCTACATTGTTGCCAAATTCATGGGTATTAGTGGCAGGAGGCTGATTTTTCTTGCAGACTTTAGCTTCCCCTCTGTGCCTGTCCTCCTAAACATGTCAAGAGGGTGCAATTAGAAAAAAACTATACTCAACCCTGCATTTTCTTGATGGAATCTGGATCTTTGTGTTGGACAGTTTTGCTTTTAAACATCCAGTCTTAAGGGTTCAAAATGGCAAAGAGACTGTTTTGATCCAAGATGTGGCATTTCAGTTAATTAGGATGAATCACAGAAATTTGAATCTGAATTTCAGACTGAACTTCTCTACTGTTAGCATCCAGCCACTGGCTGTCATTCTGCTTTCTATTTCTAGATTTTAGAAGGATTTAAAACCAGTAGGTAGTTCCTAGTTTCTTAGTTCCAAAACCAGTTCCTAGTTTCATATAGGTCTCTGTGCTTTTTTTCTTTTTAAATAGCACTTTTTTCCCATTTGCTTCAGACAGTTAGGTCAGTAGCAACTGACATTTTACCAATTTATTTTTTAATAGCTCTTATTTTTCTTATTCCTGTTACCACATGATATCATTTATTATTTTAACTATCCATTACTACTTTTTTTCTTTTAATAGGGTTACAAGCTCAATTAAAAGTTCTACATTTTGCTTGAATTTTAAAGCCTGTATGCATCAGTGAGATTCCAGTCTAACTCAATGATGCAAAAACCTGGATTTAGTTGGGCAACAACTGAACTGCTTTCCTTGCAGATTTCAGGTTTCACACACAAGATTGAGGGGTTTTAAATCAATCCCAGGGTAAATGCAGCAGAAGTGGGTCTGGGAGTCAAGAAGCCTGAAATTTCTTCACTCTGCTATGAGGAATGCTGTTTCTTACCTTGCAGATGGAAGCCCATGATTCTGAAATAACTGATGTATTTTAAAATACTGATAAAATTTAAGCTTTTTCTTTTTTTTTTTTAATGATTCCCTACAGATTCTTTGTAGACCTTTATTGCACAAAAGACAGGCGTTTTCTCACTATCAACAGCAACAGCAAGACAACCTCAGAAGTTTGGCTGGTTGACTGCAGACATCCCTTTGAGTCACCTGCTCTTGTACAAGCACGAACCACAGGGGTCATTTATCACATCGAGCACAGAAAGGACCAGTTGTACATTCTTACTACATATGGAGAACCTGCAGAATATAAGGCAATTTTGACTGATAATTTTATTCATAGGATTAATTCAGATACTTATTGCAGGTCATATAGAAATAGTAAGGTTGGCTTTTAATTCTGTTAGTCACAGCTTACTGAAATAAATTAAGAGAGCTGCTTGGATTAAAAAGACTGATAGTGCTGCATGGAGTCTCACCTACAAGAGGCTAGTTTGATCCTAACTCCTTTGACAGGATCAAGAAATAACTATGCTTCAACAGTCATTCTATCAAAACTGAAGTTGGTGATCTTAGTCTATGTAATTAAACCCACCTACAATTTTGCTGGCCATGCTGAAAGCACTTACTGTATTACAATCTTCTGCAGAGTAATCTTTGAAACTTGGTCTTCTCCAAATCTTACTGCATTGTTCTTCCATTTTGCCTAAATAAAGGGAGTTTAAAAATCTTCAGTTTTAGATAGGCAAACACCCCAAATAAAAAGTATTTTTTGGCAAAAAAAATGTTGTGTGAGATCACCTGTAAGTCTGTACCTGTCATTTGTAACTCTCACTACATGTTAGTTTGTTTGGATTTTTTTTCAGTTGATGAAGGCACCAGTAACTTCAAGTGGCAAGGAGAACTGGCTGGATTTTTTTTCAGTTGATGAAGGCACCAGTAACTTCAAGTGGCAAGGAGAACTGGCAGTTAGTTTATGCACTCGAAAAGAAAACCAAGCTAGTAGACTTTGAGATGTTCAGTGATGACTGTATTATGTTCCTGAAGACTGCTGGCCATCTTTATTTAAATGTGATTTCTTTTGTTTCACATTCAGTTCAGTCAATAAAGGTAAGTTTTAGCTTGGTTTAAGCAGTATAATATTTTTCCATTTTTTTTGTTTTGCTTTTTTGGCATAACATAATGGAAGGAAAGATAAATTACAAAAGTAAAAGCAGTTTGGAAACTATTAATACTGACAATTTCATCATTATGACTAATTGTATTACCTCTGGCTATTGTTAACATTTGATGTGGTGGCTTATTGCAGCATTTAGAAAGTTAAAGAGCAGTTGTCCTGTGAGCCAGTTCTTTCTTCAACTGATTACAGTCAAGCTCTTCACAATACAGCTGATTTCTAATGTAAAACAGAACTTAGTTCCCTAAATGCTCTACTTAGTTTTACTGAGGCTATTTTTGGTTGCACTCATTGGAATAAGCAAGGCCCTTCCCATAGGAAAAATATTAATGTTCAGAAAACAAGTACGGACACTGTCCCATAATAAATGGGAAGACTTGATATTGCAGTACAATTGGTGCAAATGATTTGCTTCCCTTCTCTAATTGTTAAATACTTGTGGATTTAAACAAACAAAGTGACTCAAGCCAAAGCCATGATTTCTGAAGACCATTCAGGTGAAATATTTAATTGATTTGTTTTCCTGAAAAATACAGTCTGAACAACTCACAAGTTTATTGCAACAAGCTGCCAATGCTGCACTCTATAAAACTGCTACAGAAAAAGGTTTTCAACCAAGTACGCTGTATGGTCTCCAAAATCTTCATTCTTTAAAATGGCTATAGTTTATTTATTCAGAAAGGGCCTGCAGTTACTCAGGAGAACTTGGACTTCTGCTGCCTTTTCAGAAGCCTCTAGCAACCTAACCCAAGTAAGTAATGGTCTGGCAGAGGGTTTGGCTATGTCCCTGCTGCTCTCAAAGAATGAATCTTGATTTCTTTCATTCTTAGCAGAGTTAAAAACCTTAAATATAATAACAGTAAGTGTCTGAGGGTGAATGTGCCAGGAAAAGGTTTTGTTCTTCACAATGGCTGGCACTAGGAACAAAGTTAAGAGGCAGGGGTTTTCAGTGGCTTAGCATTACTGAGCTACCTCACAGTAAAAGCATAATAGCTGACATGGACTTGGCTGTATAACGTGTTGAAGTAGAACTGGGAATGCAAGGAAAAATAGGATGTAAAAAATAAAACTAATGCAGAATAATTTCAAATGTTTTCTTTTAAAAAATCTGCACTAATACCCATTTTAAACTGAAATTGAATTTATTTTTTGTTTTTATTTCATTGTCCACCTTTATCCAATGGCCTCAGGGGAAAAGTTCACTAGTCTTTCACTTTTCGACAGTTTCATTACTGGATTTAAATGAAATACAGATTGTTGTAAATACAAACTAAAGATAATTAGTTAATATCCAGGTTTTTTTACTCTGAAGGACATAATAAGCAAAATTTACAGAAGCAGTGCAAGGGTCTCACTTGAAATGTCATGTTTTCTCAGCTACCTACATGGGCCTGTGAATTTGAATTGGAATCTCATCCAGAACATACCACCAGCACCTGCTATTTTCAGCTCTCCTCCCCAGTACACCCCCCTAAGCGTTTTGCATATTCATTTAAAGAAAATAATCTCATTGAACAAGCTGTGCAAGAGGTACCAATTATTAAGAATTGTCACACTACACGTTTACTAGCTAAAAGCAAGGTAAGATTTTTCAGCGTTTTTCCCATTCCTTTTATTCTTACCTTCCTCCCCACCCATTTAAAGAAAGTGCACTTGGCAGGGAACAGAGATTAAAAAATGTAAAGAGCAGTTGGTGCTATAGTTACTAAACAGTGGGTGTTTTCTTCAGTGCTACAGAGAAGAACAAGAAAGAGTCGTGATTTTTTTTTTTCCCATTAGCCTGGGTATTCCAGAGGAGATAACAGCACATGATGAGTGAAGAATCTTAGTATAAGTGAGAATTGCTAGTTGATGTAATGATATTGTACTCCACACGATAAATGAAAACTGTGCCAGCTGTTGAAAAGAACACCCCACAACCAGCTGCATAGTTCAGATCGAGAAAGGAAAGTTTTAACAGCCTGAGTTTAAAAATTTGGAGATGTTAATAAAGAGTTTGTACTGTGCTAAGTGGTAAACTCTATTGTTAATAACATATATTCTTGGTGTTAAAGGGAGAAGGAAGACTTGGGTGCTTGGGTAGTTTAAAAACTCCTCAGGTGTTGCACTTAAATGAATTTATACTCTGCATCCGTAAGCCCACACAGCAGAGGTTCAGTCTCAGGCTTTATTTTTCAAGAGTGCTTTGTACACTCTAAGTGAAAAAAAATTACTGTAATCAAAAAAACCCACATTTTAAAATAAATAATTGAAGTTTTCATTGCCATGTGTCATTGAGATTTTTGCAATGTCCCTTATTGTAAAACTACTCCCTCTTTTCCAGGATGAAACTTTGGTGCCAATTACAGTTTTTCATAATAAGAATTCTAAAGAACTGCACAGGAGACCACTTCTAGTTCATGTATATGGAGCTTATGGCATAGATTTGAACATGAGCTTTAAAGAAGAGAAGCTGATGTTAATTGAAGAGGGTTGGATATTAGCATATTGCCATGTTAGGTAAGTCAAATATAAAATGGAAATAAAATTTATTTTGCAGGATACACAGAAGATACAACTGAAGATGTACCAAAATAATTTTTTTCATGTATCTATGCCTAATTGTTCCTCTCTTCTTAGATTTTTTTATTTAAGTAGTTTTTAAATTTACCTCAGGGGAAAAAAAGCCACAAGAGCACACTACATTTTTGGTTTCTTAAATCTACATGATGGCTGTATGTAACATTTAATCTTTTCAAGTCTCATTAATTCTTGTCTCATCTTTGCTCAAGAAAAATGTCAGTTACATGCTCAAATTGCCATGACATGTTATCTCCCTCTCCTTCTGAGAACATTATATGCCAATCCTCAGTATGTGTCTTCTGAAAGCCATTTACATTCCACAACCTCAACTAAGCATTTATCCTGCAACCCTTGTTCTTTCATTGGCTAAGTCCTCTGTCTCCAGTTTAGCTACCAATCTACCAGTTCTATAAAACTGCAATGTACAATAGGTTTCAAATTTTTCTCAGTAGCTAAGGAAGATAACAAAAGAATCACTTCAGGGACAGGAGGAATGAGTAACTGCTGGAAATACCAGACCCAAAACAAATTCAGCAAATATATTCAGTCTGCTGTACTTGGTGGCAAGCATTGTACTGTTCTTCCTCACACACCACTAAGTATCTTAAGATGCAGGTCAGTCCTACATGAAGATGGATTTGTCATCCAAAGACGGCAGGCTAATCAAATAATCCATTTTAAACCTGAAACCAGAAGAGGAAGCTTCAGGTGGCTTAGAACAAAAATTGTGGTTGCATAGAAAGAAGTATAAATTATTTTTATAATTCTGTATTACAAAATGTAACATTTCAAGTAGCATTTGAAATTCACAAATTAGGGGGGAGAAAAATCCCAAACCCTACTTTCTAACAGTCTCAGAATTTCAGCTAATCAGAAGACAAATCTCGAGAGTCTGGTGTGGTGCTCAGAAATACTATTCTACTGTTTTTAACAAATAATAGTGTTAGTCATGTAATATTGGTAACGTTTTCAGTATTTTTATAGTTTCCTGTATAAAAACATAATATTATCTAATTTTATTACCTACAATGAAAATGTAATTTCTTAAAGTGTTATTTCTCCTGTGGGTTCCAGGACACAAGCACATGAGTGCAGAGAGTGCCCTTTCTACAGTTAGTATTTTCACCAATCATCACGAATGGATTTATTTTGCCTTTATGTTGTCTCTTTTAGCCATAAAGAAGGAAAAAATAGAGAACAGTTAATTGGAAAAGCAAACTATGATGTGTAACTCTGTAGCTGCTGCTGTTCTTTAATTACCTGAAGCTACACCATGTAATGTTTTCTGAAGAGACTCCAACTTGAATTGCATTAAATTTCAGGGGTGGAGGAGAGCAGGGCCTTAGCTGGCACAGAGATGGATGTCAGCATAATAAACTCAAAGGTGTCCATGACCTCAGGGCTTGCATCATGCTGCTTCATCAGCTGGGATTTTCTCAGCCCCGACACACAGCACTGGCAGCTGCCAGTGCTGGGGGAGTTCTCGCAGGAGCCCTGTGCAACACTGATCCAGCACTGATCAGAGCCATGGTTTTACAGGTGAGCTGCTGCAGACTTTTTATGGATTATAACATTAAACTGTATTATCTGTGTTATTGTACCACTTTCAGAATTGGAAATATTCCATTTCAAAGCTCACTCTCCTCATTTGTTTGAGAACACCTTGACTCAAAGTCTACTGTCCTATTTGCCAACTTTTCTTTTTTTAATGACTTCCTAAGGCTCCTTTCATAGATGTTCTAAATACAATGATGAAAACCCATCTCCCACTGACAATTGAGGAACAAGAAGAATGGGGAAATCCATTAGAAGATGAAAAATGTATGAAGTATATCAAAAGCTATTGCCCATACCAGAATATTAAGCCACAGGTAAAACTATGCTATCTGTGCAAAATACTACAGGCATTAAGTGTAGTGGTTTATAAGAAAACCAAAAGTAGATCACTGAAATTTAAAAAAAAACCCTCCAATATAAATTATTTCAGTAATAATCTTAGCAATAGTTGGAGTCACAAGTGACTACTGATATTAACCCAATGCCTTCTCCTAAACGATACAGATTTCTAAACTTGCTTGTGTTCTAGGACTTTCAGGAAGTAATAGATATTACTAGATATTGCTTTGACTTGCTATTGTATAGCAAGTCTCAACATGCAAAATGCTTTCTTTTGTGGGGGAATTTTGACATTCTGCTGTGTTTTGCTGCTTTTTTGCAGACGAGGAAGATATTTTCCACTGATTTAATACCTTTCTAGAGGTATTAAAATAAACACTGAAAGGAAGGAGGACCTATAGCATTGACATTGCACCTCAAGGAAAACCTCTCTCTTTTTGACAGTGTGTTAGCTGTACTGCATAGCTTAATTAAGTAAAAATCTTACTATTTAAAAAACAACTTCTGTGCAGAAAAATAGCAAAAATAAACCTTAAATATTGTTCTAAGGTAAACCATTCCATGAATGTTACTCCTTTTTTTCTTTTTTTGCAATCATCAGCAAGCAGACAGGTATCAGACCTTTACCAGTGCAGAGGGGACGTTTTTATGACCTTTTGCAAGTAGATTATGCCCTACTATGAAGTCGTTTTTCAGACCAAGATACTTTTTTGCAGTTAGAGTGATAAAACTCATAGAAAACACTAAGTAATTATGGAATAAATGAGTCTTTAAATAAATCCTAACAAGTTGTACGTAAGAGAAAAATGTGTTACTCTATGATAAAGACCACTTGTCAGGTGTTTAACTGGCTTTGGTTTTTAATCTCAGTGCTATCCATCAGTTTTTATCACGGCATATGAAAATGATGAGCGAATACCACTAACAGGAATTCTACAGTATGTTCAGAAACTCAGGAAGGCTGCACTAGATCATGCCAGCAGAGCAAGAAAGAAAGGTAAGGATAAGAATATCATAGATAAATGAAGTAAACTGAGCCAAAGTCTTAACAGTCATGTAATTAAAGACCATAGAGATTGACTTCTCCTTAAATGAATTCAAACACAATCCCATATCACCAGCTCCACAGCAGACTCAGGACACTCTCTGAGCTGGAAAAACAAAGATTGGGAGCCTGTGACTGGGGCTCACTCTTTCCTTGGCCTCCCCATGGGTCAACTGTTGGACAGTGCAAGGTGAGCCCACTGTCAGTCTAGCTGCTGACAGGGCCAAGCTGCAGTTCTCAGCAACCCTTGGAGAAAAATCCTATTTTTGCTGCTATACAAAAACCTACTTTTCTCGTTTTGCTAAAGCTGCAGGTCCTTAGTCCAAGCTACAGTGATAACAAGACCAAGACACAGGTGTTTTCATACCTGAAACTTAACCCTAGATTTGGGAGTTTCCAGCAAAAGGTACATTCAAGCCTGACTATTTTAATCTACCATCCAGTCTAGGGAGAGGCTTTTACCATCATTACCAAAAGAGATCTTGAATAACCTTTTCTACATTTCATGATGCCCTGTCTCTGAGCAGCACAACTCCAGTGGTTGAGAAATTGCAGCAGGTGCTGCGGTTGCTGTTGAGTTCTTTGTGCAGGAAGAAAAGATCATGTCTTAAAAAAAATTAAATTTTTTTACATGTGATCATGTAAATTTTTAAAGACTCAAAGAGAACAAACACACTAAAGTAGATGACTATTTTCCACATATGCAGTTATTATATATACAAATAATTCATTCAGAAAGCCCCTCTACAACGCTCATTTTCTTAAGGAATAACAGAAATTCTATCAGGACAAGAAGGCAGAATTAGCTATCCTTAAACAATTCACATACTCAATTTTTTCATTGTTCATTCAATGTAAAGTGACCACCAGCTTCATTGTTCCAGGAAACTGGATTCCTAATATCATCCTAGATGTCCAGGCAAATGGCAGTCATTGTGATTCATCCTGGGAGCACTCACTGAATGAGGTATGGTCCCTTTATGGCACAGCTCCATAACATGTTGCGGGATGTGTCCCCTCAAGGGACACTTCAGCCTCAGTAGTTGGTCAGTCATTGAATGTATGTTTAAACTATAAAGAAAAACTGCTAGAGCAACTGCTGATTTTACATATGTATAAATATATATATGTAAAAACCCAGCAATCTTTGCATATGATATATATTTTTATACATATATATATACACACACCTGTGCAGATATAAAAGAGACAGTGACAGATCATTGAAATAGCCTTGGAATAGTGTTCAATTCCCACTGTAATGTACTAAGAGCTTTGAATGAAAGGTTCCAAGTTGTGCAAAACATTGTTCCAGCAGGAAGTCTTGCTCTGTAGAGTATTAAGTGCTTAAAACTGTCACACTATTTACTCCCATCTTCTTCATGAGTAAAACATACATGATAGGTTGGACTGTTACATTTTGAAATGCATGATCTGTGCTATCAAAGCTATTACAATTAGCTTTCAAGATTTTGCACTTTATACAAGCATGCTTGTTAAAAGCAAAATACCGCCAAGACCTGACATATTTTTACTGATGTCTCAGATTGTCACAGTTTGATACAAATTTTATTACTCTTAATTTTAACAAATCATACAAAATGTTAATTTGGTGGTTATTCCCAAGATGAACTCTTTCAGGAAAAGCTACATGCTGTCTTAAGGAAAGATATTTCTTAGCATTAATATAGGAAAGGAAGATGACTAGAATAGCTGCACAAGAGCCTTAAAGTTTATAGTGCAAAGAACTTTGTAATGAAATACTTTCATTATTTTAGGTTGCAAGACACCTTGCTTTTCTGAATAGAGAACTTGAGGAAGCGTCTTATCCCCAACATCACAGCAAATCCTGCAAATAACTCCTAAACACACTGAGCACCTGAAAAACTTCAGGTCAGATTTGGATTTGTATGGAAAGCAAACGCCTTCTCCAGAGAATCTCTACTCTCAGATCCCTGCCTTATGGGCACAAGCACAGAAAGCTGGGTGTGGCATTGCCTTACAAAAATACAGACCAAGAACTGGATTTCTGCCCTGCCAGGCTGTGGAAAAGCAGATGCCAGCAGAAATGAGTTTGTCCAGCAGCTCTGTTCATGTGAGCCAGCAGAGCAGCATTACATGAACGGAGCTGGAGCACAACAGTGGGCAGGTAAAGCCTCACAGGAGAGCCAAAGGTACTTGGCACAGGTGGCCTTCCTGTCCAAGGCATCTGTTGCGAGGCTATATCTTGCACAAGGCAGTAGAACTCCTCTGACGCATCTGATATTGAAGTCTCACTACTTCCAGAACTAATTCCCATACATAGGTGATGGTGATTGCTGCCCTCTCTATCTGCACAGGTTGCTGTTGGATGTGGTGGGATTGACCACACTGCAAAGAAAAGCAATCTCAGCAGAACTCTGATGTGAATACATTAAAAAATCTTGCAGTTACCTTACCTAGCATGGTAATCTTAAGAAGGTGGTGCCAGAGCCTCTCAGGGGTACAAGATCAATGTGTCAGAAGATGCCAGAGTATCTCCAGAGGATAAAACTAAAAGAATGCCCCAACTAAAGCAGCCCAATTCATAGCTTAGCTGCCCTCTGAGCAAGGCACAAACCTGCTGTGCATTGCTTGTTAAATAGATGTGTGGTGCACACCTAGGGCCACATCAACCACAGCAGGTGCAGCAAATGGAAATCAGAGCACATGTACAAGTGTGACATTTGGTAGGGTTGGTTCAGCTGCTTCCTCTGAACTAAAGGACACACCCTTCACCTCAGCCTTAGGGCAGGAAAAGAAATAAGAGAATGCAAACATATTCTGACTCAACAGGGAGGGGAGAATCAACTGGAAATGCAGTTATGAGTGTGGAATTAGATATTAGCTATATTTTGTTCTTACAAACTTTGAGGAAAATCAGAGTTGTTAGATTTGAGAGAAGAGGTAAAACATCACAATAATATACACTGGTCTTGCTTATGTTCACCTGTTTTAGCAAATATAGGGCCACCCCTTTGGAATGAGTTTTACAAATCTGTATACTTCTACACAGTTACAGTAAACTGCCAAAGGCTTGGGATTCCACAGGAGCACTTACCAGCAACCTCCAGGATCAGCACCCAGAAAGCAACTGTTCCCTTTCCTCCCAAAAATACATGCTTAAACAGATTTTTTAGAACAGGTTTACTTTTCTTCTCCACAGACCCTAAGGGGGAGTTTATACCATTATTTTTCCTTTTCATCACAAATACTGATACAAGACAATTATCGATCTGATTTTTTCAGGACATTTATTTTGTACACAAAATTTTAAAAGCCAAGGAAAAATGAGTATTTTTAGCATTTCCCAGACACTAGTATCTTCTAAATTAACATTAAAGCATAGGTATTCTATTCCTCTACTTAACAGTTCATGTAGAGTAAATTGAGGACCTTGGAATAACAAGCTTTTTCTGCCACAAAACACTTCCCTTGAAAAGCTTCCATAGTATGAACAGGCTTTGCTGTTTTATATTCAAGGACCAGGCCTTCTCCCATTTCAGTTTTAATTAGTTTGGTATTGACCACTTTACCAGCATTGCTAAAATGAGTACTGAGTCTTATTACAGCTTCAGAGGGAAGGTTGGGAGCTATGGCCCTCAGGTCTATTGTCACCTCCTGGCCGAAGTTGAGCACCATCATGAAGACTCTGTCTAACCCATCCAGCTCCCTCACGAACACAAACACGTTACTGTCATTCCAGATGTAGCACATCCACCCTCGATTCATGGGGAGCTCATTGTTCCGCAGCAAAGTCAGTGCTCTGTACAAACTCAGGGTTGAGTTGGACCAGGTGCTCTGGATCTGCAACAGCACCAAAAGGGTCAGTTCTTGGCACCTCAGGGAAGAAATACAGCTTCCCTCTCACACCCACTCAGGCTGCTAAGAACACGCCTATCAGAATTCTGTGCCAACAATTATCCCTCTTCAAATCTGCCTACAAATTTCACTGAAAAACTGCTTTTTCTCATGCACTTCCTTGGCACGTGTGGAGTGGCAGACACAGAGTTCATTAAGCATAACAGTTCCCCAGCAGTAGTGCAATTGCTTCCTCCCACAGCTTCCTTTCAGTACTGTTGATTCAGGAGAAAGCCACAGCCATTCAAACCTTGACACTGAATCTTTTTCATTGAGTCCAGTCTACTGCAGTCACAGGGTTTATTTCATGTTTTATATTTCTGCTATCTTAGATTTATTTTTTTTTTCCTGCCTTGAGTTTTGGTCAGCACTGTAAGTCAGCAAAATCTGTTTGACTCACTGCTCTACATACGTTAGAGTTGGTCTATGTCAAGTTCTTGTTACAAAGCCAGTGCTTTCTATAGCAATAGAAATGGGGAAAAAGAGATCAGTTTTCAATTTAATATCAAAAGGATTAAAAGGATATTAAAGAGCCAAACTGCCCCATCGACATCATAATTGTAGCTGCTCTGCTTTAATGAATATAGATGAAGTAGGCTCCTTGTTGTGCAAGGATTTCCTTTTCTAATAAAACTCATGAGGATTCAGTGTTTTTTTCCCTTGAGTTTGTTCCTGCTGCCAATGCTCACTACTAAAAGGAAACCAGAGCAAAATAGATACGTTAAAATATTTTGAGACCATTAGTTTGTCACACATGTAGATACCTACTTCCACATTTATACTTTGGTAGTTGGAGTTAACAGGTAACCAGCTGCTGTTGCCTTCTGTAAAACCAGCATTAACTTTTCCATCCCATTGCATGGGGGATTTCTCTGGGAGGGTTGCCTAGAAAATAAAGTGGTGATTACCATATTAAAAATTATTCTTTGAATAACACGTTCTCACATCTCCCAAATTATCCTCCTTTCAGTATTGCTTTCTTTGGTTTAAGTTAAAATTAATTGAGGATGCAATTGTGGTCCAAATCTAAGGAGATTCTAAGATAGTTCCTGAAATGGAGGGGAGGGGTCATCTCAGATACAGCATTGCTGGGTAAAACGTGGAATTCCCAAATAACTCTTACTAGAGTTGTCGTCCTTTGCAACAGATGGTTGGATAAAAGTTTACTGATGACAGCCAGGATATTCTGTTAAATATCTAGACATGCAGAGAGTGAATATGTGAGGTAATGAGTCCTCAGAAAAGATGTCGTTAAAATAACGGTAAACAACAGGTAACTGCTGTTCAGTGTCTGTTCTTTTGTAAGTATTACACTTTTCACCCCAGAACTCTTCAAGCTTGCATTTGCAAGGGGTACAATTTTGACAGGACTGTTTGTGTTAGAAAGGTAAAATTATTACTTCCAAGTGCAAAACTATTGAAAACCAGCTTTTATCTGATTAAAAAGTGTCGATGTAAAAAAAGTCTGAAGTTCTCATTTTGAAGAATTCAGAAAAATTCTGAAAAAGCTTCCTCATTGTTACTGAAGAGCTGCCAAAAGATCTGACACTTAAATTTAATGATATAAGAGGGCATAAAATATTTTGCACATACTTTGAGTGTTTGTTTTCCATGAAAACTGTTTTTCATATAAAGGACACTTTTCAATACAATCTGTCAGAGCAGCAGCCTAACAAAAGAAATTGTCACTTTGCTTTGTGACATTATAAATAATGGGTTTCTCCTTTTTAGCATATTCTGAAAAGCAGGGGAAAAAAATCCTAAGTCTTCAACACTGTTAACACTGCCTCTCATCTTTACCTCTTTCAGTGTCTCCTGAAGTGTTTGAAATGCTGGGTCTAAAGCCTATATCATCCTGAACAAATACTCTCCATCTTCCTAAGACACCCATTAATCAGAGAACCTTCCTCTCCAGACTGAGTGAAGGGTGGGTTTGCATTTGTTCCAAAGCCCTGAGCCACAGGGTAGCCACTAAAAGAGAGTGAACCCTGAGGAGCTCAGAGTGAGCCACTTTTCTTAAGAGAATCACTCTATCAGCAGTAATCAGCAGCAGCAAGAAAATGCAGGAGAATACTTTGACCTAGGGGGTTCTCAGAGGAAATGAGATTTCCTTTTAAATCAGAGAATCATTTCCTCACATCTGAATCAGACAAATCTGGAGATGATCCTGTACTTCAAGTACCTCTTTCCCTTTGATACAAAGCTAGTCAATGCCATTTCTAACATTGCCAGAGGCTGCCTCATTCCCTAACAGAGCCTTTCCACAGGGAAAGCAACATCTGCCATAGGACCATGTTCATATGGTACTCAAATATGGTCAGGAGAGGCGGAGATGAGCCGTTCCCTTTTGGGACAGACTATGCATGATGACCAAAAGCCATTTCTGCTTGCCACCAGGCAGCCTCCCCTTCATGCCAATCCCTTTTTCTGAGCTTGGGCACACTCATGACAGCCATGGACAGAATCAGAACCATGATTTCCTTTAAATAACAGCCAGGAAATAATGGACTCTGACATATAATGACGAGGGCACTTCCATGGGAGGAAGGAGATGGCTCAGTTCCTCTTCCCTCATATATCTGCAGCACACTTCTCCTAACCCCTGGCCAGACCCAGTGTTGGCACTTGCTGTCTTTTCTGGTGAAGAAACACTGCTGGAAGCCATGCAAGACTGATCCAGAGAAAGACAGAAATCAGCATCCATAACTGAAGTCTACCAGTTCAGACACACATCAAGGCCTTGGTTCTGGTTTCTCGCATGGCCAATTCCACATGCTGTACAGAGGTTTGCTATGAAGGACACAAAACCATTTAAACAGTGAGAAAGACTGGGTTTAGTTAACAAAACAAAAGTTCTTGTGTTTTTGAATGTTCTCTTACTTGGAATTAAACATCAAGAGGACCAGAGTTTACATGCTTTTCACTTACATTTTCTGATGCAATGTTCTCCATGCCTATTTCTTCACCATAGTAAGTTACAGGAGTGCCAGGGAGGGTTAAAAGCAGCATGTTCATGACATTGATGTACTCCTTCCCAATCCGAGTTGAAATCCGAGCAGCGTTAGGGCTTCCAACCTGAAGAAAACATCATTCTGTTAAACAAACATTATAAAATTTCATGCATATGTGAAATTGATTAACTAATTTAATACGACAGTAAATGTTTTGGGGTTTTATCTTTCCCTTCCAGGGCTGTGAGGTCCATTATCTTTATCTTGATGCCATTACAAACTTCTGTCCCAAAAAATTTAACACACAGAAGTCCTGCCAGCAGCATATCAGGCAGAAGTGAGGAAGAGATGACAACAACCGCCCCTGCTTACAGTTCTCTGCTATTTTCTCTGCTGTGTGAGGACTGCTCTGCTTGCTTTGAAAAGATCCTTTGCACATCCCAAATATGCTTCCTAAGAAAAAGAGGAGCAATGTGTTAACTGCCATCTACTGCCTGCTCTGCTCTGTCCTGGTTCCAGAATCCATTGCAGTGAGTCAGTTTATGGTCATAAGATAATTATCCCAATTCCATTCTCACTGGTGATTTAGCCATTGAAGCCACTGAGGGAGAGACATGATCATAAATTCCTTTCTGTCATCCTTGCATGGGGAGTGGAACTGTTATTGAAGCTCTCCAGCAGGACAGCCGGACAGTGCCAAACACTCCAACTACAGCAGCTGAGAGTTTTCACAAGGACAGCAAGTGTAGCTCAGCTGCAGGCCCAGGCTGCTGCTGACCCCACTGAAATCAGCATCTTTGTGTGTGGTTTCTGTCACCTACAGGAACAAGCCCTTCCTATGAGAGCTGGCCTAGAACTCTTACTGCCCAGTTTGGCCATTTTCCTGCAGGCATGTTTTTCATCCATGAGTCGACAGCTTCAAAAATACTGTTGCCCGATAGATTTTTCATGTTAATTAGGTTGAAATTGAAGGGAAAATCTGCTTCTTGGATAAAAGTCGTTCCATAATACATCATTGTTGCTCCAATGTCTTCCTTTTCATCATCATCAGAACCCATAAATCTAAAAGAAGTACACAAATAGTATTTTTGGCTTCTTTTTGGTTACACAGAACAGAATAAAGCTAGAAATGGTTGGACACAGAGCATTAAGAATTAGGTTCATTTCCCCCTCCCCATCAAAAAAATATTAATATTAAAAATAATATTAATATTTTTTAAAAATTAAAAAGAGAAAATATTTTGTAAGACAAAGAATCAAGGAGAAATACTTCTTGAAAATTGCTGGAGAAAAATCTACAAGAGTCAACACAAGGCTGAAGTATCTGACTGAAGTTTTATCTTTCTGAATCCATGCCCACACACTCCATTCCAGAAATTTCCATGCTTTCCTTCACAGAAGTGGACCTGGGGGTCACCTGGGGGTGACCATGAGCCATCAATGTGCCCTTGCAGGTGGCTCATGGCATCCTGGGCTGCATTAGGAGGAGTGCTGCCAGGAGTGAGGGAGGTAATCCCCATTAGGCTGCCACTAAGGCCATTAGGGACTGAAATGTCTCCCAGGAGGAAAGGCTGCAAGGTGGGCTGCTTAGCCTGGGGAAGGGAAGCCTCAGGGGGATCTCGTCCATGTATGGAAGGGAAGGCGCAAAGGTGACAGAGACAGGCTCTCTTCAGTGGTGCCCAGTGCCGGGGCCAGAGGCAGTGGGCACACACTGAAACACAGGAAAGGTCTTTCCCAATCAACTTCAGGAAACTTCCACCAGTCAGGGTGACTGAGCCCTGGCACTGGTTTTCCAGGGAGGTTGTAGAGTCTCCATTACTGGAAATGTTCAAAAGCCACCTGGACAAGTTCCTGGGCAACTGGCTCCAGATGGCCCTAAAAAGCAGGGGGTTTGGACCAGAGAACTTCAGGAGGTCCCTTCCAAATTCAACCATTCTGTGATTTTAACACTCCCTGACTGTGTGTCTCACTCTAACTGAACTATTAAAAATAAAGAATAAATCAGGCACAATCTTGATAAATTAGTATCTCTGTGATTAGAATGGTTTCCTTTTCTGCTTAGCTTTATATAGTCCATAGATGGAGCAGAGCTAATGGCCAATTCCTTTCTGCATAGTCTCGGGAAGAGACAGTATAGCCTATGTACTACCTGCACCAGAGGTAGTACATAGTACTAGAGTAGTACATAGAGGTTGCATTTCTGTGGTATATTATGTTATTAAAAAAACATTTTATTGCTAGCAAGAGAGAAATTAATATCAGAAAAAACTGGCCAGCTGTGCTGGCTACCTGTATCTGCCAGGCTCTCTGCTGAACTCATTCATGGTGTGACGGAAGCTGCGGATGATATCATGCAAACCAACCTGCGTGGTGGTGTAGTCATGGTAGAGCTGGGAATAGGCTGTGATATTTTCCTTAAAGTAGGGTATAGTACTTCACATTAGTTCACCAATGTTTTAGGTTTCCAAATTCTCCAAATTCTTCCCATTCTTTCCTGAGACAATTCACCAGTTCATTAATTTCTACTGAAATGAGTTCAGCATGCTAATACTAACAGCATAGTGCTGAACTGCACTTGAGGAACTCTGGAGCAGCAGAGGACTGATAATTTTGGATCCCATCCTTCAGCAGGGAAAGCCCACCCACAGCACTAACCAACAGAGTCAATCTGGAGCAGCAAGCAGAGCAGGTGCTGTGGCCTCAGACTAGGCTGGAAAGACGGGCATTGCCTTGATACAATAACACAACACCACCATCATGTTGGAGCTGGCCAGCTGTCTGTGATCCCCAGCTCCACAGGAGAATAGTGTCTTAGTGCTGGCACTACCTGGGAACATCACCAGGTTCACTATCAGAGCAAAAGTAACATAAAAACAGTGAATGTGTCTGGTCACCTCTCACTGTGACACATGGCCTATACCAGTGTTTCTTAGTTATGCTCCAGTTCCTACCAGGGCTTCTTTGTGCAGAGTGCCCAGGACCCACCCACCTTCCAAGGCTGTCCTGATTTTCCAACAGCCACAATTAAGACCCAAAAGAGTCAAACCAAGCATTCTTGTCTCCATAGGAAACGCAGAAAAGAAAGCAAAGACAGAACTTACTCCCTTCCGAGACTTGTCCACTCGAGGCTCATCTCGGAGATGTGTTGCTTCTAAGAGAAATTTAACAGCACCAAAACTAAACCCATCCACTCCTTTCCCAAGCCAAAATTTTATAATATCCTGGACAAAAGCAAAAATTGAAAAGTCTGAGCAAACCCATCCCATTTAAAGTAGTATACTCTTAAAAAGAAAACAAAACTTGTAAGGAGGTGTTAATACAAAACAATTCATTTTTTGATTTGTACTTCAAATTTTTCTAGAAGCTAGAGTTAATCATGTTGATCTAAGGTCAAATCAATAGCTAAATAAAGTATGTCTTACTATTTCATTCATACAAAAAAGAAAAAGATTAGTCTCTAACTTCTCCCATAATTCAGGAGATCAAAGCCAGGGCATGACTCACTAAAAGCAGTGTCTAATCCATCCATCAACACAGCTGGGCTCATACTAAGTGATGCTGTTGATGAATGCACTCATCATGGCTGCACATTGATTCAAATATGCAGGAATATGTTGTTCTGCACAAACCTTGTGCCACTAATTTTCATTTACACAATAGAGCTCTTAAAACATTTCTTCTCTCTTATTTGACTGATGTAATTCTTTTATTTTATTTTCAGACCTATTTGTTGATTTGCAGGAACACAAGAAATTATAATCCAACAATTACAAATTCTATTGATTTGAAGTTTCACTATCAAATTCCAATATTAATCGCTATTAGTAAAATTATATCGTACTTCACTAACTGTATTACTACAGTTTTAATTGCCCTAGTTTTAACAAAAAAGTCCAAAGTTCAGTCCCTCTTGAGTGGTTTCTGCAAATGTCCTTTTAGTTGTGATACTTGTCTTCGTCTGAGGAAAAAACCTTTTTTCATATTCTTTTAGAAGATGTCTATTGACTTGCCTTTTTAAAACATATGAAGTACACTTGTCTGAACAGGCTGGAGTAGAATTAATCCTCACACAAGCTGTACAGGTTTTAGTTTGGCAAATAAAGACTGCCTCACTGAGCTGCACTTTCTCCTAGTGCCATTCTGAAAGCAGCAGCTCTCATTATGGTGTCTGTCCAATACTGAATCTACCCAAAAATGTTCACGCTTATACCTGTGCTCAGCACAAAAGCAAACCCGGGTATCAGCACTGCCAACATCAAGCACTGACATGGTTCTCACTGGCACCAATCTACATCATTCACACATGAAAACCACAACATGCTGGTTGCTGAGTCTGGCTACTCTTAGGTGCCCTTGTGCTGCTGAACCAAAGACTTTAGCTTCTCTGCAAAAGTCCATTTGCTTCCTGCTCAGTCCTCCTAATCTTCTGGAACAGGATTTTGAATTAAAATACTAGACAAAAATTACTCTTTAACATGATGTTTATACACATTTACCAAAGGTTGGTGTTACCAAGACAAACTTCCCAGCTTTCAAGTTTTTTGAGGTACTGGAGTTTCAATAATCCAGGTGCCACTCTAAAAAGTAATTAGGCGGGATCGTTAAAAAGCATGTGCAGTGCTATGGGAGGGGGAGGAAATGTGCAAATGGCAAGATGTGGCATTAAGGGAAGTATGAAGACACAGGAAGGTTACTGGCAGTGTTCTTCAAGGATCAGTCTCAAAAGCAGCCTCATTGTGTGCTTGAGTTAAAAGGTATGGCCAGAAGTGTTTCGTTTGCAGTACCTACGTGGTGGGGGGAGAGGCCCCAGAGAGACCATCCAGGGAGGACTGGGCAGCAATGAAGAGCAGCGCCAAAGAAACGCGGCACAATTCAAAAGTACAAAGTAGCGAACGCTTAAGGATCCAATCAAACACAGTAAGTAGCTGTACTACCGGCTGAGGGATAACTAATGAAAGGGGTAAAAGAAGCAGCTGTTGTCAGGCTCCCCACATTCAGGCCTACATCCCCATATTGTAATGAATTCAACATTCTGCATTCCTCGGTCTGCTAGGAAACAGTGCAAGCAGTACCATCACCACCAGTCTCGCTGTGAAAACACTCATTTTCTCCCTGGAAAGTCATCAGCCATGCAGACAGATCGAAACTCACTATCTCCCCCTTATCCACAAGCCCAGGGATTCCTTGTAATTCAAATCAGCATTGCCTCTGCTTTCCCGAAAATGCAAACGTCTCTTTGCTAAACAAGGTGCCATCCCTCCATTTGACTGGGCAATTAACAACTCCTTGTACCAACAGAGATAAAAACTTCTCTGCACTTGAGTAAATCAGTTCTGCACAGGCTTCAGTGCAAGAGCTGCTCTGCTGTTGGCTCAGCAGCAGTCGGTTTCATGCTTACATGGATCTCTTGCTGGACAGCAGGGCTGCGAAAATTCAAGTCTGGCTGTTCCTTCCCAAACTGATGGAAATAACATTGCTTTCTCACATCGTCAAACTGCCAGCTGGAATTCCCAAAGACACTCACCTGCTCAGCCAAGGGAGAGAGACAGTTAGAGCTACTAACTTAATAAATATTTCCTCCTATGCACACATTAAAATGTGGGGCATTACAAGAATAAAATAAAGCACAAAATGCCTAATCAGTGGACTACAATTTGAACAGATTTTGGTATTTATGATTTTAATTTCTTTTTGCCACTAGTTGCTCTCCCTTTAGTTGTGCTTTGCCACATGTATTTCTTGTTCCGTGTTGTGAATTTTGAAGATTTTTTTATTAAGTTAACTTTCATTAGGAATTATCTGGAATAGAGGGAAAAACATGAGCGGGAACATTTATTTTGGAATTACTTCTCATAAAACTTATTAAAAATAGCTTTAGTTAACTTAGAGCTTTCTGCAATTTAGTATTATCCCTTTGAAGGGCCAATGCAAGTTAAAAATGTTAAACTTTATCACCATCTCTGTAATAAAAGATTCCAAAAGCTAAGATAGTTCTTAAGAGTCTTAAGTTTAAAAAGAAATTATACAAATTGGTACAAAGTATTAATTTTGCCCTGAGTTTTTGGACTATACAAGTTCCTAATCAGGCACCCACCAGTTCAAATCTTAAGTAAATCTATTTGAAACAGGCAACACACTTTCTGGCCTGATCACTTTCCAGAAAAAAAGGAAAAAAGCCAGGATCACATTGTTTTGTTTCCATCTCCATCAACTATCACTTCAGAGGACGTGACATGCAGTTTCTAGAGCAGAATACCCATACACAGAAGGGGGCATATGTGAACAACTTGTGCACAACCTTTTTCTTTTTTAAATCTGGTGTTTGTTTCATGAATGAAGGTTTAACACTGAGGTGAAGAAACAAAAGTAATTTTAAAAATTCCACGTGAAGTAGGAACTTTTCCAGTGATCCCCCAACCTGGTTTAAATTTTAATCTGCACTAACTCATGTAGTAACATCAGTTTGTACCTCTCACCAGCCATTTATAACCCCATGTACACTGGGATAATCATGTTACAGCTTCTTTTGCTCTGTGGCATCCAGCTTGGGATGTGCATGTGTCCCTTCCCATGTTTACCCAGTTGTTGGGAGGGATAACTGAGCCAGAAGCCTGCATGCAGTCCTGCCAGATGTAGTAGTCTGTGTATTTGCCAGTCCGATTGCGGCTCAGCTGAAACCACCGGTGTTTGTCGCTTGTGTGGTTTGGTATTAAATCCATTATCACCTTTAGCCCTTAAAAACGAAACATAAAAAAATTCATCAAACCCCCCGGCCCCCAAATTACATTACATTTAGCCTTTTAAGACAACTTTCATATTTTTTCTAAATGCAGTATCAGAGGTATTTGGGCTTCTTCCATGCCAGAGGGTCTGGTGGAGGGGCAAAAAAACCCCAAAAAAACATAAAAAGTACCAGACTACCAAAACAGTTAGACCTGACTGGTGTTTGCAAGTAGCTGGAACACAGCTTGGGAGGGAAAGAAGGGTGAAGAAAAAAATCAGAACAGATTTCTGTTATTATGAGCCACTTTCACTAACTCTGACTTCATCATCTGTCTCACACCTCCCAGGTGAGAAAGGCACTTCACCAGTCTAGCATCAGTGAACACACATTCTTCATCACCCTGCCTAAAGACCAGATGTTTTATTGAAACCTCAAATATTTTCAGACTGGCAAACCATTTTCTGTTCAGCTCAACAGCTGCAAGAAGAAACACCTGAGCAAACATTTGGTCTGAGGCACAAAAGCACCAAAGCAAGGATGCAAGGTCAGGAAGCGTGTGTTCCCTCATGTTCAGTCAGACAGAACTGCGCCTCAGCTTGATCCCGTAATGCCCATAAGATAGGCCTCAGGGGGCATGGACAGGTGCCAGCCCACCACCCACAAACATCCTCCTTGCAGAGGACATGTTGCCACCCTGTGCTGCTGCTGTAGCTCCCTGTGCCCTCCGTCCTGCTTTCAGCACTGCTCCAGAGCCAAAGGGCAGGAAACAGCAATCACGGAGCTCACGTTGCTGTGGAGCCGCCTTGTATCCTTTGCTGCTCTGCTATCCTCCACCTGCTCCTGCTCAATGCTACCACGGGGGGACTGACAGATGCACAAACAAGTCTCTATAAGGTCCATCTTTTTAATAGAGTTACTGTGCCTGGAGGTGCAGCTTACCTTTGTCATGTATGGCTGCAATCAGATTCTCAAAATCTCTCATTGATCCAAAAATGGGATCAATGTCATAGAAATCTTCAGCTCCATATCCAAGGTCTTTTAAAGGGGACTTAAAGAAAGAGGTGATCCAGATGGTTTTTATATTCAAATATGTAATATGGTCCAGTTTTTCTTGGATACCTATTTAAAAAGGAAAGGACATCATTTGTTCAGGAAAGACAGAAGATTTCTGTTTGTACAAAGGTTCCTTTATCTTTCTGACATGTTATTGTGGTATGCTACTACAGAAGCAGTTTCTGCCCTTCACTTGCCAGTACTGTACAGTGTGGCTATCATTCCTTGTTTAGAAACGCATTGTCCATTTTGAGCCTTGCCTTTCTGCAAGGCAGTCTCAGCTCAGCTCCTGGTAAGTGGCATTGGTTCCTTGCTACCAGGGGCCCCATCTCCACTCATTCTTACGAGCTGATAACACCTAGACCGTGAAGAAAACAACACATCCTTCTCCCCTCATTGTCAGATTTGGTTTTCCTTAAGAAGAGCAGCCACCAAACATGACCAGGTGCTCAGCACCTTTCATGCTTCTGACTGGCCTCAGTCTGACTCTGGTAGCAGCTGTGCTGCTGCTTGCTCCCAGCACCATCTCTCAATCTCCTTTCTAATCCCCCGCTTAGACTTAATTTGAGCAAGCAGCTCTTTTTCAGCTCTTGGATTTATTCACAACAACATGAGTTGCTATTAATGTTGCCTGACTTTTCTTACTTCTCTCCATAAAGGTGGCTTTGTCTATTGGACTGTACTCTTCCACTGTTTTTCTTTTTTTATATACACACATACACACACAACTGTTACACAGCAAGAACGAAAACTGACCCACCTTTCAGATCCCCATTCCCATCCATGTTGCTGTCCTTGAAGGAACGAGGATAGATCTGGTAAATAGGACTAGCTTGCCACCAGTCAAGGCACTTTGGAGAGACAGCAATGATGGCAATCGTAGTGCACACAAGCGCCATAGAACCAGCAATTATGAGCCAGAAGAGGATCTCCCTGGTGACTCTGTAGCGGGCTTGGCTGGAGAACTGCAGCAAGACTTCCTTTGGCATCCCAGCATAAGGCTTCAGCACCGTGTCCTCTACAACCACCAGGTCCACATCAACACTGCACTTTTTTGACATTTCTTCTTGGCTACTGGTATCCATCTCCTTGTCCTCAAAAGCCTCATTTTGAACAAATCCATTATTCTCCACACCTCCCTTCTCACTCAGCTCCATAGGTAAGCTCTTAGCTTTCACCTCAACTGTTTTACTTGAAAGTTCTTGTCCTGGAGACTCTGGCCACAGCACCTTTGTTCAGTGGAATGAGAAGCAGTGCAATTAGCTATTCTGGGTTGATAATCAATCCTGACCAACTGGTCAAAGTTCAAAAAGAGACAAAAAGGACAAAGTGCTCACAATTTTTTGCATATTCATCATCTTCAGCAAGACAGCAAAATGCTATAAGAAAGGGCAGTTCTGCTGGGAAGAAAAGGCTATTGTTGGTATCAGCTGAGCACAGTTATGTTTACTCTTGCTCTCTCCAGTACACCACACTTCTCTTCCTTATGATAGGAGGGGGAAATTCAGGTTTTTACCACTATGCAGCTTTCCAAACTGGTCCTAGTCTCCTTTGCCTGAAGCAATCTGAATATGGGTAATTTAAATATGAACAGCAAGAGAATGAAGGTTGACAACCACTGTCCCAAACACGCCACAGACTAAGAAGAAAAGATTCAAAGGCTGGTTGTGCGTCTTTTTCAGTTTAGATAACCCACCCCAGCCCACCCCCAACTCCCAAGCACTAACAACTGCTGTGGTACATACTGATCCAGTGACTCACAGCAGGTACATGGAGTGGATTGCTACCCCCAGAACCAGCCTCGGGGCAGGACAGGATAGTTCTCCACAGGCACAAGCAAAATTCAAGAGAAAAAACCCACTGCCCACTATTAAAATCCACACCCCCCCTATTAAAAGGGGAAAAAAAAAAATTAAAAAAAAAAAAATGGAAAGAAGGGGGGAAAAAAGAGAAGTGCTGAAAAGAACCTTTCCCTTCTCCCTCTTTCCCTCCTTTTCTACTACTCTAGGCAGGAAAAAGCAAAGTCTGCACAAACATGCACATTTGTACACATCTGTGTGCCCTAAGCCCCAAGTGCCTGAAGTCAGCATCAAGACATCCCTTCCCACCAATGCCCCCTGCCCAGCACACCAAAAGACACACAAAGAATATTGCAAAGGAGCTGCCCTATCACTTGTAAAAGTTAACTCCTACCTCTGACCATAGGGTCAGGATCCTATGGAAACTCATGGACAACTGCAGTGGAGACAAGGCTGGGTTGTGATTCAAAAAAAGTGTTTATGATGTTTGCCTCAAGCAGTGAAAGAAGTTTATAAACTACAGACTGTAAAAAATACAGCACGCAATATTCAAATTACTCAAAAATGTGTTATTTCTTCAGTAGCTGAGCTAAGAACAGGTATTTGATGCTGACAGATTTAATCCTTCCTCTTCTTAACAGCAGTGCCTGGCAGCAACCCCAGCCTGTGCAGTGTCAGGAGCCTGTGGAAGAATCCAAGATAACAGCTGTAGTGTCAGTGCCTGTGATTCAGTATTGCCAGGAAATCCAGAAGTGATTTATTCGAAATATTTGACACAGTTTCTCTTGCATTTAATGACTCTACAGTCTTAACATCATCATATCAGTAAGCTGTAAAAGTTTCCAGACAGGCACTGTGCACTCAGGGCATACACTTGTATTCAGTGCAATGCCAGTGACTTCTCACTCCATTTCAATTGTTTCATTTCAATGACTTAACTTGCAATTAAAGTAGAGAATGTATAAATACTGATTATTTTCAGACTGCATCAAATACACCTCAAGACCCGGTACTCCCCAACTTGCTTTTTTCCCCGCCAAACTCAGAGGTTTAAAAGTGCCAAAGTCTTCCTGCATACACAAAAGCTCTCTCAGCCACTCAAGAACAGCAAAGCAAGTCAGAGCAAGAGCAAATGATGGCCAAAACACAGCCATATGCCACAGATGCATGGGTCACATAAGCCAAGGAGACTCAGGACAGTCAGGTGCCGAGTATTACTGCTGGAATCAGAAAGGGGAAACTAGATCCAAGTGAGTATTTCAGCTCCCTCCCATCTCTTTTCTTTAAGCCAGTAAACTTTCTAATGATTATTTCCTGTGTGGACAGGTTTATTTGTTCTAGGGACAGAGGCAGCTTATCCTTGGCACACGTAGTTTTACAACTGGTAAAGGCCAATTTAGTGTCTCACCAGTCAGAAGCTGCCACTGCTCTCTGTACGCATCGTTTGGAAACCATTACTTTCCCCTTATTCGAGTATCTTGCAGGAGCAGCCTGCTCTGTGAATCCTACTGTACAAAAGCCGTACCATCAAAAGAGCCCCTCGTGTCCTAATGTAATCCCCAAGTAACATTAAAGGCTTATTTATGCCTTAAGTAGGGCAGACCGTGTCTTAAAGGCCAAGTGTCTGGCTGAAAAGAGAAGGATTATAGCGCTCTGGTAGATAAATGCAGCATGCAGGGGTGGAGGCCATGGATAGATGAATCCACGTGTGCCATCTCCGCTGGGTGCAGAGCACACAAAGATCCATGACACAATCACTGTGGGGTTGAAACAGAACATAAGCCATGCTGGAAATTACCAAGTGGCAGTGCTGGTGAACACACAGTCTGTAGAGTTGGACTGAGCAGGCTCACAGCCACACTGCAGTCGCATCTCACACCAGATCCACGCTGCTCCCTGAGAGAGCTGAAGCGCAAGCAGGTACCAGTGGAACACAGGTACACTTAGGGCAGGCATCTGGGCCTTAAATCCTCGAAGTTCCTCTAGAAAGACTGAAGAAAATATACAGCCAAGGAGCTTAAAACAGGTCTGGATGATCAACTACCACAGACCCAGGAGAACAAACCCAAGAATCTGATATTGTCTTCTGTATGATTTTCCTCACCGACTAAAAATAAACCCACACAGGTATTTTGTTATTACAGACCTATTTTTTTTCCTCTCCTCATCCTGAGGAGTTGCTTGCCTTAAAATTATTTGATAAAGGAATAAAGTAAACTTCATCTTAGAAAGGTAGATCACCAACAATTCCCACTGAGCTTTAACTTTTTCCTTTTAAAATATATTTTATGTATGCAGGCATTATGCATCTGGCTTGCTCTCAAGCAATTCTGAAATGGTTCCCTCCTGAGCTATTTTAGTTTAGCAGGAGTAACTAGCCAGTGCAACTGTGTTAGCAGAATCCACTGAAAAGCATTAAATAGTAAAGAAAATACTTTATATTCTGTGCCAGTTACTCTGTTTACCTCAGGGTTAGGTAGGAAAACAAAACCAATCTGTATGTGGGCAGTAATAGCTGCTATCTCCACACAGATTGCCATGGTTATTTCTATAAGATGGAGGGGTTAATTTTCACAAGCATTTCTTATATATAATTATTTAGATGCACTGACTGACTTAGTCATCTACTGTTTGATGCTCTGCAAATGCCAAGTAGCTTGCCAGTTCCTCAATACCACACATATTACCACCAAAAACCATGCAGAGGGGTGATTATGCACCCTAATGTGTTAAGTGTAGGAAGACATTTATTGTTAAAAAGTTCTCTTGCTTTATGCTTTTTCATTAAAAGGTTTGTTGCCACTGGAACCAGTCTGACATAATGCACTTTAAATATAGCCTCATTATTTACAGAATCAGGGCCAGATTTACAGGTATGTAAAAAAGGCAGACACCTTAGCAGCAGCTTTACCTCAGCAGCTCCCACAACACTGATGGATAATCTGACCTTTAAAGCTATCTTTCACCCAGCACTAAGAAAAACTTCCCTTGACCTGGACTGCAGCTGTCAAGAGAGAGAAGGTCTAGGGGAACAAGTTTCTGACACAGTATCTTTTACCACGAACATGTCTGAAGTTTCTGCCATCAGCCTGAAGTCCTGGGGGTGGTAAAACGTAATTGCCCGGGACACTGTACACGGGGTTTGGTGGGGGTTTTGTTACATTTTTAATGCTCTTAGTCCACTAATGGACTATGTGATTAAAGGTTAATGTCATTATAAATGCTGTAATTAGCTACTGCTTGGCTCACATGAAATTTCAGGGGTAGGTTTCAGGAGAAGGCAGCACCCGGCCCCGGCCCTCAATGGTTGATCAGCAAGGCTGGCTTCTCCCACGATTTTTCATGAAAACAATTATCCACTAATTCCTGCTGCTATCATAGCTGCAAGAACAAGAGAATGCAGCGCTAACTCTGTTTGGATGCTTCCCCCACAGAGGGTCAAACACTACATACAATCCACAGAAAAACAAACTTCAGGTTTGTTGCCTCTCCAGAAGGAAGCTCACTCACATTAATTGTGTTCTTTTCAATTTACACTCTTCCCCTTATAACATTCATCTGCCCCATTTCTGTACTAGAGGATGACAACTTCCAAAGGATTTTCTTTTCCAGCCTACTCCTCAAAACCTTTCCCAGCAGGAGACCTAGACCTTGTTCTTCCCCTTGTATGAGCTGGAGAGGTTCAGCACGGTATTAAATCATGGCAGACCTGAAGTTTGGATGACTGTAACTCAAGAGTGACCTTGTGTTACTGAAACATCCCTGAAGTGGGAGATCTACAATACAGATGGCACAGCCAGGCAGCCCAACAGGAAGCCAAGGAGAAGAAAAACAAAATGGCATCACACTACATCACTACTGCGTCCATCCTTTGGGTTACCAAAAAGACAGCACCCCACCAGATACTTGGGCCTTTGCCAGGGCTCATCTATGACAACAATTTACGTCCACTGAATAGGAATCTGAGGAACAGGTTTTAGTCTGTTGAGCACAAAGCACTTCCTACTGTGGAAGAATTTATTGGAAGGGGCTGTCAGCCAACAGCTGTCACTGCATGAGCACACCTATTGCCATACTATAGGTGGTACAGGATGTAGTTTTTCACAGTGCCTCAGCTTCCCCACCTGAAGGAATTACACACATAGTATCACAGATATGGTACTCCATACAAATTTACTCCTCCTCCCTGTCTCTCAGTGCATAAAGATAGGCCTTCCTGCACACAATTTGCTTTTTCACAGGTATCAAATTAGTGGCAGGTATTCCACAATGAAACCTACACAGATTGTGCTCCTGAGAAATAATTTCCCGCTGGAAGAGCTCAGTTCATACCAAATATCTCCAGTCTGTACAGAAAGATTCACTCTCCAGTACTGAATTGTACCCCAAGGCTCTTACAATGGCTGCTTCTGACCAACAGTTCCTGGATT